TTTCACCATATGTGCCCGTCGTTTCTAATGCGACTGGCTCGAAACGATACCGAGCTGCCAACGCCGCGTATTTACGTCTCTTGCTATCCTCCGCCGCACGAGCCGCGAACCCAGCAGAAATAGCCGAATTATTGACGTGCGACTATTAAGACAGTCATTAAGACGTCGATAACTGAGGCTTGGAAGCTTCATAATCTTTAATCTTTCCTCATAGGACTTGCCTTTCAAGCCCGGAACTATCCTTGTTGCACGTCTTTGAACACTCTTCTAAATTTCTGTTCTTTTCAAATTTCGGTGACCATACGACGTTTCCAAACTCTAGGTTCGGGGGCACGACAGCAACAAACAACTGCTTCATCGTTTCTGCATCTAGGAACTCGAAAGAGCGTCTGATCAGTCCAAGCCGTTTATTGGCTTTATTAACTTGACCTTCAATATGCTTAGAAAATTTCAACTCATTGTCGATATTAACTCCTAAATCCTTTTCCGTTGTCGACTTCGACATCATCACTCTGTCGTTGCAACCGTGTCTTCTCATATTGATACTGTAATCTTGCTGTTCATTATTCTTGCCAAGGTGGATAACTTTCCATTTGTCAGCGTTAAAACGCAGCTGCCACTTATCAGCCCAGTCAACCAGCCTGTCAAGATCACCTTGCAACTGTACTTTTTGCGACGTATTCTTCACTGTATTATAAATTTTTGTGTCGTCAGCTTACATCGAGCAAACGCTAGACACAGCTTCTGGCAGATCGTTTATAAACGCAACGAATAGAATTGGCCCGAGAACGCTTCCTTGTGGCACGCCGCTGCGCACTGAAGCCCAGTCCGATACGGACCCATTAATACTGACACGTTGTCGCCTCCCTACTAGAAAATCTCTGATCCATTTGAGTACATTACTCTCAATTCCCAAAGACTTCAATTTATGCGACAGCCGCTCATGTGGGACACTGTCAAATGCCTTGGCAAAATCGAGGTACACTGCATCTACTGGCTCCCTTTCGTCCAGCAGGTGGGTCCATTCGTTCAGAGTCGACAAGAGGTTAGTGGTGCAGGATCTCCCGGCAATAAATCCATGTTGACAGTCTGATAGGAGATTATTAGCAGTCAAATGATCTATCAATCGATCCCTCACAACAGATTCCGTTACCTTGCAAACTGACAGGGCGATAGTTGCCCGGGCAGCTTTTGTCACCTTTTTTGAACAATGGTGTTACTTGAGCTTCTTTCCAGTCAGCCGGCAACATTCCTTCGTTCAAAGTTTTTCGAAAAAGTGACGCCAGAGGGCCGGCTAGGACAGTTGCTAACTCTTTGAGTAATCTGGGGTGGGAGCCGTCTGGTCCACATGACTTGTTTGGATTTACAGCGGTAAGGCGCTTGAGAACCTCTTCTTCTTGTATTTCAAAGCTTGTTAATTTAGAGCCGACTGGGCGCTCCTCAATAGCTGGAATACTGTTCAAGTCCTCTTCAGTGAATACGCTACTGAAAAAATGATTGCGTACGTTAGCTTTGCCCTCATTAGAGGATATCTTTCGCTGATCTACTTTCAAATCAGAAATACCGTCCTTCATCTTGCACTTCGAGCTAGCGTACAAAAAAAAGGCTTTCGGGTTCTTTTTTTGCATTTTTAGCAATACTTTTTTCGAGGGTTTTTACTGCGGTGCGACAGCTTTCTTTAGCTTGATTTCGAGCTCTTGCGTATAGGTTATAGTCAGCATCGCTACGAGTCAGTAAATAACTCTGGTATGCTTCCTTCTTTGTTTTCAGCTTAGCTAAAACTGTACTGTTCATCCACCGATTTTTTTTTGGCTCCACCAAGCTTAGTTTTAGGTACACACGCATCAACTGCAGACATAACCGTGTCCTTTAGAAGTGACCATGACTCAGCCACTTTCATGTCCTTAATACGGTTCGAAATATTCACTGCATTCACTGCTTCACGGAGTTTATCATAGTCGCCTTTCGCAAAATTCAAACGCTCACGCTTCCGAGGCGTCTTTTCTGTACAGCACTTAAGTCTGAAAAACAATGATTGGTGATGGCTTTTGCCCAACGGAGCCTCGTGACGAAGCTCATCCAACATTGATTCATCACTGGTAAACACCAGGTCAAGAATATTGGGAGTCTGTTTACTTCTATAATGGGTTGGTTTGGTAACGTGCTGGACTAGGAAGGAGTCTCTTACTGACTCCATGAACGAGGATGCTGGGTGATTCTCTTCCCTTGGAGAGCATCCATCAATCCAATCTAGCTCTGGATGATTAAAATCACCAACGAATCGACAATCTTTTGACAACGAAATGACAATCTTTTGAATCGAGATTTGAACACACTAGGTTGTCATTGGCGGCTCTTATAATTTGATACAATCGATAATTGATGCTGATGAAAACTTTTTAAGCCCAGGGGCCGGATTATCAAAACTTCGTAACTTTTTTTACTTCCGACAAAAAAGTTACGTGTTACGTAAGTAAACCCTAATTTTGACATTATCAAAACATTCGTACGTAAGACTTAGCTAAAAGCGTATTATCAAAACCATCTGGCCAACAGACCAATCAGAGGCTTTGGATTTGTTTACATTCTGTGAACTTCGATGGCGGGAATCTATGCCTTCGATGGTATCGACTATCGAATGCTGTCTGTCGGTATTGAGTCGGTATTGCTCCTTGTTTCCCCAGAAAAAGCCGTTCTTAAATAGTTGTGAACTCTTTTTAATAAACAGCGTGAGTTAGAGAAGAAATCTGTGTACGGAGCTAAAAATTATGGTTGGCAAAGATATAAAGTACCGACTGGAAGGAATGAATGATGAGCGTTGGAATATAACGTAATATGCATTTGCTTGTAAAATATAACGTAAAAGGAAAACAAAATTAGTTTCTGTCATTAACTCAATGGATTTTTTTTCCAATAGCACTGTTGAGCACGATCACATATTTTGATCGTGCAAATGTTGCAGGATCAAGTAGTGGAGCCATCACAAGTAGAGCCATCATTCTATGCGTGTATAATCCGCGCTGTCGGACTATTGACAAAATTCTATCACAAGTCAAGGTGTTGCTACTTGCTAGTAAATCAATATTTCCCTATCGCTTCAGCGGACACTCTAAACTTGTGCGGAACTCCACTTACGACATCTCCGAGCAGGCGTACAGTTACGTTACGTATCTTCCCGCGCAATTGTTTTGATAACCTCTAGAGTTACGTCGTCAAGTCAGCACATACGCCAATCGTAAGTCGATTTTGCGTACTTACGAAGTTTTGATAATACGGCCCCAGGGCAGAACCTCTGATCTAGACTTAATACTTATTCTTCGGATGAAGTTAGAGAAGTGGATTCACCAATTAAGATAATTCAGTTAATAATTGATCTTATAAACAAACTCTAGCTTAATACAAATTGACGGTGAGGAATGATGAATTTCTCACGAAAAGTAACCATTACTTCCCGATCAAGATAACCATCACAATTAGATCCATGATGCATTGATGATGCAATCCAAGTGTCTGGTTGCAAACCGCTAGCATTTTTTATTTCACTTAAACACAACTAAGTGATGCTCTGAGTATTATTTTTCAAGCGGCCAGAAGAAATAACACTAAAGTAATGTATATGCTTGGAGCCCGTAAGGCTGAAGCGCATTTTTTGAAATATTCAAAGTCGCAAAAGCCAACCAGCGAGTGTCACCAACAGGAAACTTTTCTTAGTTCCTTTCTGGACTTCTTTACTTCTAGTAAAGTAACTTTACTTTACGTACGGCCAAACTGATTGATAATGTTATTTCACATATTAATATGCATTACCAACACGAATTTAAAATTTAGCTTTACGGATTTATTCTTGCACTGCCTTTATTGCCCTATATTATTTATGAACAGATCTCAGTAAGCTCAACTGATGTTTCAAAATAAAGTTGCCTTAAATCGTCATTATCGGTATCATATGATGATAGCTCGATGCAACACTAATTCTTCTGCTAGGGAATATTTCACTTCAACGCCGCTTCTTTCCTTTCGATACCATCAGCTAAACTTTCATTTCACTTAAGAGTGGAGCTGCGTGCCGCCCAACTATATTTGAATCAAAATAACTAATTTTATTCACATGTTATGAACTGAATAATTCAAGGCACTCGTGCTAACACCAAGATGTGTTATATGAATAACGGAAATATTTGATTAAAAATGATTTATTATAATCAATAATAATATTGAAAATATCACTACTGCATTGCAGTTTTATTTAAGACAAACTAGTTTCAATAAAAGGTTGTTTGATTTTAATTTCGCATTGGTTAGTTCCGTGAAATTTTGTGATATTTGCAATTCTTATTTCATGCCACAGCGTTTGAACGGACATTTCTCGCGGTATTATGTTCAGTGTATGTGTGCGTTTTCATGAATTTAGAAATAGAAACCTTGGCTGGGACAAGTCAAAGACTAGGCCGAATTCATCACAAGTATTCAGCATAGAGTAAGTTTGGTGCCTTAATTAGTTCACATTATTTTCATTATTTTATAAAACAAACTACGAACAGTTTGCTTCTGCATATATTTATGTCGATTAGTGCAGCTGCAATGATGGAAATTGTCATCTGGCAACATGTAACTTTAATAATTCAATTAATTTTTGCGTGCAGATGACTTAGATTGTTTTTATCCGCAAACAATTCCTTTATATGAGCTATTGTGTTGATTTATTGAATTCGAATAGTCTTTACTATATAATGGTTCATCTGTTTATCGAAACCATTAAAAGAGAGACCATGAAACGCAGCTGATGCAGGTGGGATCGAATAAGCTCTTTAGTGATACGTGATTGGTTAGGTAATTATCTTCTCATTAGAACTATTTAGTGTAATGAGACTGAACGCCAATAGATATTGTTGATATTAACAATCTAAACCTATACAGGCTAAATTTTCTCTTGTTTGGAAACTAAAATCACCATTTTGAATGAACAAATGAAGATATTTGGTCATTGTGATTACCAAATAATTCTCACATCTCTAATGCAGGAAAGGTTGGTGGTCGTGACCACCGACCACAGCCACCAGGCCACCTTCAACGGCTACCCTAGCCGCGGCCAAGACATCACTGGTGAGGCCGACCGACCAAATAGAGACAAATATAATTGCAGTGCAGTTTGAGGTACCATTTGATGCTTTAACATAATGGTCTGTAGATTGAATTCATGCGTGCATTTAGTGTGGTACTGTTTAAATTAGAGGAGGCTTCCAATAAAGTCTGAACAATTATTCACAAAGTATAGTCAATATAAGTTGACAAGGCCATATGCGACCTTTCACATCGCATATGCAAAGCTTCACTACGATGCAGCTCTGTGTATGATGCTCGAACTATTCAGCTACAATACATCAAGCATGTATCAAAATGATCAACGTAGGTGCAGGAATAATGGGTGAAGTCTTCTTAGTAACTGAGCCTATATAGTTCTGAAACTGCTTACAGTAGGAAGGTAGTATGAACGATTTTGATATTTAATTACCTATTTAATTCCCTCTGAAAATTCCACAACTGTGTGAATTGAGCGGAAATCACATGTGGTGCAAATGTGAGATTCGATGCTATTGTTAAAACTGCAAACTTGTGGTATTTTTAACATGACAAAGTTTTTTCATGGATGGAAATTTTGAGTCTTTGTGTAAACTACGTTGCCTACGGAAGTCGTGTTGAATCACCCAAGATCACTCAACGTTGAAATTTGCAACATTTCAACCTAGCTTGCTTCAACCAGGGTTCTCCAGCAACATGGACGACGGCCTGCCACTGCCTACAATAACGTACTCTAACGGACCGGGCTGGTTTAACGCCTACGTCGTGGATGGGAACGGCAACGTCGCGCGACGTGACCTGACCGGGGACGACGTCACGAGCCTCGACTACGTCAAGCCGGCGGGCGCAAATCGCCTCACGGCCACGCACGGGGGAGAAGACGTCGCGCTTTATGCCGTCGGTGAGAAGGCGTTGCGTGACATCAAACACGTATATTTTTAAGTGCTTTAAATGTCGCGTCTAATGTGTCTTTACTCTTGATGTCTTAAGGTTTCTTCAGCTTACAAATTTGCCGCCAAATTCGCCAATTAAGTCTTGATTTTCAGCCGTTCATTCAGTTGGTAATGTTTCCGAAGTGACCAACAACTGAAATATATTCCTTCTTATTTTTACAACACTTCTCTTTAACTTCACTTCTTGTTTGTCTGTCTGTCTGTCTGTCTGTCTGTCTGTCTGTCTGCTACAAATCTTGTAATCAAAGTTAATACACTTCTACTTATCCTATCGATCTGAAATTTTGCCCACTTGTGTAAAGTTGGAGACAATGCATGAATCAAATGTCAAAATAAATGATTTTAGAATTTAAAATTTTTTTTTTCAATATTAAAAAAATTGAAAAAATAATTTTGTCAGCTACAAATCTTATAACTGATATTTGACACACTTTTACCTGTCTAATTGATCTGAAATTTTGCACACTGGTGTGAAATCAGAGGCAATGCACGAATCAATTAACAGAATAAATAATTTTGATACAAAATTTATATATTAAAAAAAATTTATATATATATTTAAAAAATTGAAAAGGTAATTTTTTTAATTTTCGAAAATTAGATGAGAAATTCATTGTACATCTGTAAGATTGGAGATACTTGATTCTTTGGAAGTGTTGTCTTTAAAAAGTAGTTTTTAAACGCATATTATTAAGAAGCTAAGATATATCAAACAATCGATGAAGACAGATCGTGTGGGAGCTATTCACTTGTCTATAATTTGTCTATCGTATCTTTTAAGAATATCATCACCCCTACCAGCCGTACGTCATTCATCTCCCATCCCGGTACAAGTTATCATGAACAAACATTCTTTGCAGGTCCCATGTCACACTTGTTTCAACGCACCCACGAGCAGAGCTTCGTCGCGCACGCCATGGCCTACGCCGCTTGCATCGGACCCAACCTCGGCCACTGTGCTCAGCATTAGCACCGGATGTCCAGCGCCGTCACACCAGGCCTAACATATACCATTGTAGCAGTCTTATAACAGATAGATAAAGCCATGTTATACGCCATTTGTGTTGGGCTTCCTGCTCGGATGTGCCTTAGTACTCAAACACTGTCACGAGTAGACAAGCATGAAACTACGCAATAAATCAACTCCGCTGATAACCATTTGCTAGCTTCTTGTGCATGGAGCCCTTATATAAGGGATCATCATGGAAACAGAGTAGCTTGTTGGTTCTAATATTTGCAGTCATGAGTTCGGGTTGAGCTTCGTTCATGCCAAGAGTTAACTTAACAATAGGATTTTTCCAGTTCAGATATTTCATTGTCAACTTGACATTTTTGACCACCCTAAAAAATGATTAAGGAAAACCGCATACTTTTTTAACCTTTTTTCCAAGTGCCTACCATTTGAACGCTTCTAACGAGATAGATTCAGATAGATAGGATTCTAATCAGCTTCAGATTTTTACAATCTTGTCACGCGCACGAGTCTTGGTGTTTGCCTAAAAATTTTCGGTCATATTACATTCGCATTGTTGAATAATGTACAGATTTAATAAGTATTTCATTTACACTATGACATGAAAGTCCTCTACATTTACTAGTGGACTCATTATTTAATAATTTACGATTGTAAATTTGCTGCAGAATTAGACGATAAACAAATTCGTAACCTAATGTTGCCACCATTCTCGCCTTCCGGAAATTTTTAAGCTACCACTGAGAATTGGATTCGCTTCTCCCCGGCGTTTTGGAACAGGCTGGAATATTTATGGGAATATTTAAGCCAAAATAACGCCAAGCCGAAATTGCTTCCAGCGTTTAAACTTTGCTTTTAAGAGAATTTTTACACGGCGGGATAATCTGAACAATTTCTCACCTCGGAAACAATAAATGATCTTCCATGAGATTTTCCGTCCATAGAAGCAGCGGCGAGTAGAAGGATCATGAACATTTACGGAGATCAATAGAAGGATATCACCTTGTGTGATCGCACGGACTTTTATTATTTTACTTGAGTTTCCGGATATCATACTGAAATGCCTTTGAAACAATTTGAAATTTGAAATGCCTTTGAAACAATTTGAAATTAGAAAGAAGTCGTATGTTATAAAAATTTAGGAAACCAATTTGAATCAAATAAGGGAATTTCATCTCCTCCCTTCGATTAAATTCTCGTTACAGACTATTTGAGTCTCCCGAAGAATTTAGCAATCGACATGGCGGAATTAACGCGCATTTTGTAATATTGACGTCATTCCATAAAATTTGGAGTTCGAAGCTTCCATTGATAAAGTTTTGCGAGATGCGCACTATAATAACTAAAATACGTAATCTAAACGGCTCCTGCACCCAAAAGCCATGCAAACCACTGAGCTGGGTGTCCAAAGAGCATGCCATTACTGGTATTTCTTGTTTTCGGGATCATATCAAGGAATCACAGAGAATAGAGAAGCGTTGATAATAATGAACATAATTAGACAAAGATATTTTTTATTATTTAGAGTTTTAGCGAAAATAGCCAATTACATGCTACCAATAATAAATTACATGCTACCATGCTACACGACTCCTATTAGGTTCAGTAACATGAAAATCATTCAATGAACTTCTAATCAGAAAAATCCCTCATAAAAATACTGCACAAAGTAGAAGGCACGGAGCCATTGCGTCTTTCTTAACTCATCTGTCTGGGCTTTTTGCTGCTTCTTATGGCGCATCCGAGCCTTCCAATAAAGGCGGATGATGCTTTTTTAACACCAAACAGCTTCCGGTAATCTGAAAGGATGCTTTTTGGGTTTAGTGCACTCCAGGTACGTTTCAAAAACAATTGAATAATAATCTTTTCGTTGAGCAGCGGTCGGAAGTTTCTGCAAGGTCGCAGGCCTTCTCCGTTATTATCGCAATTCGCGTGCTGATGACGATCGCGTTTATGAAGGTTCTATTGATATCGAACATTCATTGTGGATAGTGTTAGATCAGAATTACAACTTTCATTCTTTTGTGCAAAAAAGTGGTTCTCGTGTGCTAATCCAATAAAGAGGTTGAAGATCTTCGCTTATTTTATTGATCACGTGGCGTCCTTGCATATTAAAAGATTTCCTTATCTGTACCTCTCTTGATTAAAATGTAAGGCAATGACAACATAGCTAGTGCTGTCTGAAACGTGACGTTTGCCGGAGTGCAATGCCCAAAGTTCGTTCATTTCTGTAAGAAATAATTCGACTGGGTGAACTCCGTTTCTCATGACGCCGAAGCGGTCAACAACATTGAAGGACACAAGTCGATATGAACCTCTCTGACAATTATCCATCCCGCGGGTTGTCTCCAAGATTATGTGAACATGAATTATCTCGCCAAAAAATGAATGCAGCTCGATGAAACTTGGGGTTTCCGTCGCAATTGGTGTATACTGAAATAAAAATATATACTTGAAATAAAAAATTTGTCTGTGCAATATTCTGAGGTTGTTCCAGAACGTGACGATAAGAATGCTGTTTAATGTTCATTTCCTTAGTTTGGTCCCGCTTTAGAGTCCTGTGTAAGGACTTGAAAGGTTTGTTCTCTAAATCCCTCGCAAATGTAAATCTCCAGGTATTGCTGGTAAATAATTTTAAAATCAGTTATTTTTCCAAGCATCAGGATACACTCCAGGTTCTTATGCGACCGTCCCTGCAATTAATGCTGTTCAGTAAGGATAAAAACTCGAAGACAAATCAAATGATAATGAAATTGGTGGACATTTTACCATTTATTTTACCACACAATCCAACTGCAACACAAAACGCAAATACCAACATAAACTATCTCACGCCGTACTACTAATTTCATCGAAAACAAGGATATTTACGCACAAAAATTTTCGAACGAGAAAGGCGTTTTTTTATTTAAAGTCGGACTAAGATTGCGTTTCCATGAAGAAGCAAACAAATCTTGATCTGATAAGACAGAAAAAATTAAAATGGCACCAAATTTACAAAATTATGACAAATAGTAGATGCCAGCAAATAATGAATATCTTTCACGGCATAAATACATGAAATTGAAAGAATTTGGCCGTGATCAAAATGCGTGACAACGTGCGCTGCTCAGCTGCTATAGTTTGAGCTGAGAGACGCAAGTACACAATAAATCTTGGACATTAATAGACGTGCGTTTTTATTCAGTCTTTTGGTATGATAGTGAGCTGTAATTAACTATTCAAAGTCAACAAGAACGAATTGAAAACCAATGCTTCAGTGTTGCCTAAAAATGTTATATATCGAATAGCCTTACAATATTATTGTGATTTTTTCGCAGCCATCCCAAGAAAAAAGTCAAATCAAAACGGTTCATTCGAATATTGGGAAAAATCTAAAAAAATCAATATTAGCAACATGAGAAATAAATCCCTTACTCACCTAGAACTAATTGAAAGTAAATAATTGTAATAAATACACCACTCAAATTGTTAAAGAATTTCGCAAGCATTAAACACTCGTTAAAACAATGAATTCAGTCTCGCAATGAAAACATGATGAAATTATAACGATGTAATCAGATGTATTTTAATCAGAATCTCTAACTGTCTAATGACGATAGGATTTGAATTATGGAAATATTGAGCATTTCATGGGAACATCATTTAAAAAGATAGATAATATAATAAAGAAACTAATAATACGAAAAATATAAAGCCGCGATTTTGATGCCGCGTCGGACTAGAGATAAAGTAACGGAATTGGTTGGCTGATCACATAAATCATCTCATTATTTTATTCGAGTGAATAAATCTTACTTCTGAAATAATACCGCATAATGGATAGATGCATAACATTTTTTAGAATAAGCGATACTATTACCTGTTAGTGCCCGAAAGAAAGAAATATGAGGAGTAAAGTTGAATAGATATTCATTGTGCAGGAAAGAGAATATCATGAGATGATTATAAATGAGACAATAGTTAATGGTTGCACAAATTTGAAGAGAAGTTCAGGAAGATCATGGTTCAGAAAGGTAGGAAAAATCTACAAATCTACTTCGATTCGTAGCACAATTCAAAAAGATGCTGGAATCATTCTAAGGTTCATAATGAGCAAATTTATTACAAAAAATTAAAAATTGCAATAGTCATAAACCTTGGTATATGACAAAAAGAATAAAAACTCTATCAGCCTTCAGTATTTCGAGGTGAAGTATCTCTGAAGTTTGAACTTCGAAAAATGCATTGAATTGGTAAATGCTTTGAATATTGGTATACGTACTGATCAGATTTACTTACTACCCTCACAAGTGATACTATTTCAAAGCAACTAACCCTAAACGGATATTAGAGTCGCCGAGGTCCTGAGGCACTTTTCTTTGGCATGCGATGAACTAGGAGGCATGTCTCGCATGTCCGCGATAAATCTTTAGTAACACATTTAAGCAAGTCTGAGTAAACCAGAACTGACCACCAAATTTTGGCCAACATAGATCAGGTTCAGGCACGTCTCGCCTCTTCTACGAAGTGGGCGGCCACCACATCCCTTAGCATGGCATTACGATCTCGTCTTCTGCGTCTCTTCGCCCGGCGCGACGTGTCAGCAATACTTTGATCAACCGTCTGCGGCTTCTCGCTTGGGGCGTCAGTTCCCACTTTATTTTGCAACGAACCAGCAAAGAAACGGGCGATTCTTGATTCAAATTCTGGCTGTTCTAGGTAACGGTCACAATAGCGTTCAATGTCTAAGCTTGGTGCTACAATTTCGCTCAGGCTACAACATTTTCTTCCGGCCAAGCTATTCTCCCTTACACCGTTTGCAGTCTCATCCCATGTCAGGGTTCTGATTTTGCTTTCTAAATAATCACTAGAAGTATTAAGTATCAGCTCCTTGCTATGATTAGATTGTGAATCCGGTACTTGGCTGACGGCAGGAGCCCAAATGTAATCATCACACTTGTCGATATTGTTTGACGATCGACTCTGAGTTGTTGAAAAGTTTGTTCCTCTTGTTAGGCGTAAGCCTAATGACTTGTCCCTCGTTTTTAAATCCCATTGGACCATGCAAGTTGACAATGGAATATAACCGGAAACTAACATAGGATGAGTCGACAGGTAAGAAGTACCTAAATGGGCGAGCATTGACTCGGTTACATCGGTGCGAATTTCTCTTCTGTTGATAGGAGCGATTTTGCCTTGAATGCCATCAACAACACTGGCTTGGAACTCGATGGGAGGTACTATTTTCGAATTGAATTGAGGCGCTGGGGCTGTGTCTGACGTTTGGGCTGGGTCTGACGTTTGGGCTTGGTCAGACGTTTGGGCTTGGTCAGACGTTTGGGCTTGGTCAGACGTTTGGGCTTGGTCAGACATTGGGGCCGGGTCAGACGTTGGGGCTTGGCCAGACCTTGGGGCTTGGCCAGACCTTGGGGCTTGGCCAGACCTTGGGGCTTGGCCAGACGTTGGGGCTTGGCCAGACGTTGGGGCTTGGCCAGACGTTGGGGCATTGGGGCTTGGTCAGACGTTGGGGCTTGGTCAGACGTTGGGGCTTGGTCAGACGTTGGGGCTTGGTCAAACGTTTGGGCTTGGTCAGACATTTGGGCTTGGTCAGACGTCGGGGCTTGGTCAGACTTTGGGGCTTGGTCAGACTTTGGGGCTTGGTCAGACGTTTGGGTTTGGTCAGACGTTGGGGCTTGGTCTGTCGCGGGACCCTGGTCTGTGGCGGAAGCTTGGTCTGCAGCCGGAGCTAATCCAACCGAGACTGCTTGGATCATTGCAGTCGCCCAATAATTAGTATTATGTAAGTAACGACGATTATTCCGTGCATGGCTGCGAGAAAAAAAAAACTTAGATCATAATCGCGATTAACAATTCATCCGCTCAGCAATGTATGTGTAAAGAGAGAAGTGGTTGGTGCTGAAAACTGCCTTGTTAATTTTTCATCTCCATACACACAAAGGATGGTCAAAAGCCACTTGCACGTAGTAGATGGTTAGTATAAGCATTTTTAATCAAAAGGGGGGAATTATAACAACAATTTTCACTGAACAGATGCATAGTTAGGCATAATATCAATGGTTTAGAAGTTGGCCAGTATTTTCATGGTCATCACAACTTCAAATCGCTACCAAATTGGGATTCAAGTTTCATTTTCGAACCAACCACTGACAGTAATGCAGGACGGAGGGTATATGCTTTTGACTTTTGGTTAACGCATCCGTATCCGTGAGTTAGGATTCTACTCCATAATAAAACAGGTCTTTCTGTCCATTTTCATTCATGCTTCAAATTGAGCATTTAAATCATTCCATGCAAGAAGAAGCTCGTATTAACTCTCTTGGTTTTCGGTAAGCTTGATCAAGTTCACCGCAAATATGACTCATATTTTTTGTATGCTCTTAATATTAATTAATTTTATCACGCAATGGATGATTTTTATGATCATCCATATAGATTGAACTCATTATTGAGAGGGCAATTACCTGAGACCCCAGTTAGGCGGACGCTCAGGCGCCATCGCCGCGTAGGCATCGCACTGCTCCAGGAACTCCTCCAGGCTGCGGCTGCCGCTGCACACTTCGCCGACTATCGAGTCCGACATCTTGAAGGCGTTGGCAAATTTATGGAAATTCAGGGGATCGAAAAGCGCTTGGGCGGCATTCGCGCGTGTGAAGGGTTCTGCAAGAAGCATTACAAATCTTTGGTTTATTTGTACGCTTGCATCAGGAAGCATTACAAATTTTTGTTTGATTCATACGCTTGCATTGGCAAAACGAGCGCTCTTAACCGCCATTGTAAGAATCGGCATACTGATAAACTTCTTATCATTTTGATACACCGGCATCAGAGATTGGTATTTTGCATCCATATTAGAGTGAGCTATAAATATATAATATCACAAGCTGCAGGCAACATAAGGCAGTTATTTCATTATCATATAACAGTGAAATATCTAATTTGGCCACATAAGCTAGCGCTCAAGAATGAGAAATTTTCACTGAACAGCAAATACTTCAAGAAAATTAACACTATTTCTGTTGAAGTCATTTTTGAGACGAGCTTCATCGTCAATTAAAAATTCAGTAACACAGTAATAGAGGAACTAGTTCGTGCGAATAAATTTGCCAAATAAATATTAAAACCTGATTAACAACTATAAACCAAAATAACGACAAAAATTCATCTATCATATTTCAAGCAAATAAGAACTATAAACATTGCTCAAACAAATTACTTGTTCTATTCCTGAAGTATCTAACCACTCTCTGAAGCTGGTCGAACAATTCAATATCAAAATCAATCATCAATATCAAAAGTTTATCAACATTTCATTCGTTGTAGGTTTTTCACATATTAATTATTATTTTTGTATATAAATTGCAGATAGATACCTGGAAAAGCATGAAAAAATTCGATTGTTATCTTATTTACGAGAAGAGTTAATGTGAAACTACTTCGTGAAAGAATCACAACCATACAAGCTAGCCTGTCTGAGGGCTCGCGGCTATCAATGCGGGCCTTTAGAATGGCATCTCATAGATTTTATTTTGCGTCTAGCCCTTTAGTGGGAGATATTATGTTAATGTTTGCAGTTCGATTATATCGTTCGTAGGAGATGGGATATCTATAACGTTATCAGTTGTTTCCAAATTATTATTTCTCGGATTCTTTATCGTATCCAAAGTTCATTACCTAGGTAATCAACCCTATTTTAAACTAACTTGCGAGATGCTTTGATCGCACTATAAGAGTGAAGTTGACCTATGCTACTACATAGTTTTATTAAGCAATTAATTATTTAAATGTGATGAAAATCACTACTTCATCGCTAACGCTGTTACGGGAATTTTTAATAACTATTAAAAATAATTTAATAATTATTTTCAATAATTTAAATAATGATATTAGTAAATAAAGTAACCTGATCCCGGGATAAGGAGACCATTTTTACAGCTAGTTTAACTAGAGTAATAGATGTAAGTAGGAATGACCTTCTTGTTAAGAAAGAAAACGCGAGATATACAAGACATATTGAATGCCACAACGATACACGCGTTGGGTTCAAAGTATAGCTTAGTGTAACAGATGTTCTCACCCTCAACGAAAATTAAAGGCGCCGGTTTGCCACCGCGCCGGTCCATGACCTCGTGCATCGGGAAGCTGTAGCCCAGGCGCACCGAGATCACCGACGTCGCGAACCTGCCACACACAGACAAACGCTTAGCTTCTTAAGGATGAAACCGAACATGTCGAAGGTAAATGAACCCGACTCAATGACTCCAGTCACCAGGTATTGTTGCGGTACCACTAGGAAAGAGTTAAAGAGAACAAGAGATGACGCAGAGTGGCCAGAAACAGGAAGGAGAAATGGAAAATACAGTAGGAGATATACAGGCAGGGTGGCCCAGTGGTTACAGTTCAGAGTACCAAGATTGGCGCAGAGAGGCGCGAGTTCGATCCCAGCTCTGTGCGCCAGTTTCTGGTCAGAATCGGCGAGGAGGCCGGGCGGTTTAACAAAGAAAATTTGAAACAGTGAGTTGCGAGTTCAAGCCAGCAACAAGCTGTGGATGTTTGCTGTTAAGAATCGGCGACAGGCTTACGGCCAAATAAACGCTGAAACCGCTATATTATTTTTTATTATTGCGCATTTTTGCGAAGCATTGCGCATGCTTCGGTGGGTTGTAGGTGATTGGGGATTGATTGGGGTTGGAAGAGAGGGCGAACCAGTCAAGACTTTGGATGGTTTTAGCGCGTGGGTGATGAGAAGATGGTGTTTCTTTATGATGATCTTGACAACTTTGGGCACTGTTAAACTAAAATAGAAATGATGCGTGCTCCGACTATTTACATGCTTTTTCCCTCTTTATTTTTTAAGATGATACGGCGAAGATGAAAGTGATAATGATTATGATGATGATGATAATGACGATGGTGAGTCACTCGAGACTCGGGGGATGAATTTTGTCAAGGATAGCTTGGTTTACAGTTGTTCATCGGTCTCGTCTGTGCTGTGTATCACTTTCAGTGAGTTGCGTTAGTCCGTCAGCGTGGTAGTGTATTGGATGATGTGGGTTGCTATGGTACCAACCACATCTAGATATGATCGTATGTACAATAAAGTCGTATGTACACAGTCGTATGTACAATAAAAAGACTAGAAACATGAGGTAAAAAAAGTAGTCACTAGTTCCTTGTTTCCACTTGCGGTGAAAAGGCTGCTATATCCAAGTGGGTCACACGAGAGCACGAGAAGAGAGCTCAGTCACAACCACCACTAATGACCACGGGGGACCAGCCCATCGACCACAACGGGAAGAAAAAACAAGACATGACTCACGGGAAGTGGGCATAGAATGCGATGAAGTTAACGAAGAGCTGCCCGATGGGGCGACGTCGGGCTGGAGAGAACACAGGCATGCGTTGGCTGATGTTCGTGTGGTCTGTGCTGCCGCTGCTGGGGAAGCGGAACGGCAAGCACTCTTGCAGCACAGGCAGCGTCGGTGGGTTCATGCCACCTGCCATCAAATGCGATCATTTCCATTAAAATTATCAGCAAGTCCCTTCGTCTGTTGAGGCAGCAGAACACGATTTCAGTAATAATGAAACAAAAACTACAAGAAAACGACGTGTTGTTAAGAGGCAGCGCAATTACTTCATGCCACACTTCCAAAGCTGATACATAGCAGGGGGTAGTGCAAACCTCCCAACTCCATCAGTAAAGAGATGGCCGAAAGACATAGTGGCCTCCAGAAGTTTTACACGATAATGAAGTGGGGGGAAAAAGCTTTGAATGAACAGATTCTGCGAGACCATACCATAAATGATGTAACAATACGGACTCTAAAATACATTCTACGTGTGAGTCAACCAATTGCACGAACGTGTCGTACGGCTGAACGTCGAAGGACGCAACTGAATGGAAAATATAGTGTTTTTAAAATTAGATGCGTTATGTGCGCTAAACTCACTCTGCAGGAAGAACACCACCATGAGGGTTATGGCGTACGATGGAAGAAACCCACGGGCGCCGCCACGAATGCCGCATCGTTCGGCCCACATCTTTACGCACACGACCAGCATGCGTACACGCCAGTCACCTGCACGCACACGCTTTGTGTCAGCAAGTTGGGGACACGCAACCTGATGTTCGTGCGAGATCTCATTAATGACCTGGGGCTGATGAATTATTTTCCAAAGCATCAACTGAATTGACATTAGGCACTATGGGATCATCTGGCTTGGTAACACTGGGCACCAAGAAATCATTTGAGCACTCAATATGGGTATCATGGCACCACCTTGTCAGACTCTCATTGGGCAAGAAATCATCTGGACACTCAAAATGAGCATGAAGGCAATCTGTGGGCACTCACACTGGGCATCATGTGGGCACTTACACTGGGCATCAGAGCATCATGTGAGCACTCACACTGGGCATCAGGGCATTCTGTGGTCGCTGACACAGGGCATCATGTGGGCACTCACACTGGGCATCATGTGGGCACTCACACTGTGCATCAGGGCATTCTCTGGGTACTCACACTGGGCATATGAGTTGAGGAGATGCGAGTTCCTGATGCCGGTAGCGGCGCTAACGTTGATGTCCACGCGCAGGCCGGTGGCGGCGTCCGTGAAGCGCAGGATGGGTACCGTCGCCAGGATCACCTCGCTCTCGCGCACCATGTCTGTCGATTCATCTCCCGATACATCGTATTATCCTAATTAAACTGATTGTGAAGTATATCGATACCTCATTTCAAAAGTTAATAATTCTGTTATTATTACTAAGTTTGACGTGGCAATTGTAGATATTCTATTCTCGTGGTAATTACCATTATGAAACGGTGTAAAATTTCTCCACGATTTCAGAAAAATTTTCGAATTCGAATTGATTTTCAATTTTATTCAGGTCACATTCAGTTCTGTAAGCAGTCAATTTCGTTGAAGTAGGAGAATTCATTTAACAACATTAAACATTAACAAAAAAGTAAACACTATTTTATTCGTTTCGTTAAAGTAAAGTAAATAAATTTCCCAATTAAATAAATACTTTAATTACTAGTAAAACCTCAAAATTGTTCTGTGTTGTCACTTAGAACTAACATGAATCCAATTGTCATAATTTTAGGTCCACTGCTGATTAAATGGATTACTACTTCTTAAAATTACTACTTCTTAAACTTAAGTTCTCCGCTATTCTTGACTTTCATTCTACGTTTACTGAATTGTTCTAACTTCGAAATTCATCACGTTCCTGAAAGCCAGCAATTGCTAAGACGCAGCGTAATCTTAGGTTCGTTAATTAGGTCATACTACTCATCGGATGTCATTTACAGAAAGGATGCGCCAGAGAGGTTGTCAATCACATTATCGTAAACAGTTTTCTGAACCTATATTATATCGTATTGAGGAGTTTGTTAGCCATCAATTTTAAGATATGTCAAATCTTCTGCTGGTTTCTTGGTACTTAGAACTCGATACGCATATCCTATGTTAGAGTATATGAATGCAAGCAAACTACAGTAAAAGATGAAGACCTGCTCTTCTTAATACAGCTAATTCCAGTCATTTTAGTAAGTAAAATTTAATCATTTTCATTTATATGGATCAGACTCGTACAAGTTTATCACTACGTTACTTCAGAGGATAGTGCTTTTATTATCTCCAAGTCCGATGTAAAACTGTAATAATCCCAATCTTCTTGAATGGTCATTTTTAGACTTGAGTAACACGTACTCTTTCCCTCATCCACTTTGAAACCGTACCTCATTAAGTACAACAACTACATTCCTTCGTTTTTTATCCAGAGACGTCTCTTATTATTCCTACTCGAAGTTTATCTTATTGTACCTACTCTAAGTCACGAACTCTTTGGACAGATTCAGCGGCAGAAACTGTCGCACTAATTCCGGGATTGAGACACTGTTGAATGTCACTCTTATGACGTGATCCATTGATGAACATCATATTACATTCCCCATTATCTTACATTAGGTGTTTACCGTTTATAAATAAGTGTAAAATATCTATTTAAATCTCTTGGCGACTTAAAACCGTCAGTCCAAGGCGACTTATAATCGGCAGAAAACGCTCTGAGTCCAGTCTTCAGTGTTGGCGAGCGTTAGTTATTATTTATTTCCAATGTGTTCTGGAAAGTATTCGCGATAGTTTAAAAATCTTCATGTCACTTAGTCAGTTAAAAGGAGAGCAATTCGATAATGAGTAAAATGAACGAAATATGCTGCTTTGTCGATTCCCAGCGAATATTTGGAGGAGTCAGCTGCTAACTCACACAACATGATTATCAAGTATGACTGACTTGGAGGGAAATTGAACTGACTGTCCATCTCCAGCAAAAAAAAAAATAAATAAACGAGACTCTCAAGTGAATGTAAATGAATATTTTATTAGCTTGCATCTGTTGGTCGTACAGCGTAATAGAGTGGGCGATTCCATCATCATGTCTAAAAGAACAGTAAAGTTAGTCAATAGCAGCAAGATTAATTCGAAAGTAGCGTACGATTGATTTTCATTCCTTTTGAGGTGATATTAGAAAGAATGAATTCTGGGTTTTCGAAAACTCGGTTTTTCTGTTTCGACATCGTCATCTCTGAAAAAGTTTGCCTCAAAAAATCAAGTTCTAGGTTATATGCGTGTGTTCATAACATTACGCTAGCAGCACTAGCATCCTAATTAGCTAATTTGAATGCCAGTCAAGCCTGACATTCAAACGAGGCTCGCCTGTTATGACGTCGTGCGTTTGCCGCGGCAGCGTTGTGCCGTTGCAATGAAAATATTTTAATTTTAACGAGATTTCATGCTTTTTTTTATTTTTGAAATAAGTATTTCAGGTAGACAGAAATAAATCTTATATGTTGCCCTTATAAGACATACCAAGCAATACCTCGAGATATGAAAGATGTTACACGCAATCAGAGGTTTCGGTTATTCCTTATATACGAGGCTGAGAAACCACACTTAGACAGACAGCTCTGAGAGCGGGAATAGAATTTGGCATAATGTTTATTGATGCCCAATATTTGGCAATTTACTAATAATTAGTTTGTTGAATTTAATATTGTAATTTGTTGAGCTGGGCCATCTACCGATTGTGAAGTATAGGAGAGGAGAGACTCTGATTGTCAACACTCATACAGTATGTATCGTCTAACATGTCGCGTAAGTTAGGCGAAGTAGAATCAAAGAATGGCAAGTGAAAGCACGAGCTTACGTCAAATGTTCAAAAAACGCTCACTGCAGATTTAGTAGTCAAGTAGTAGTTTCTTTCTCTGCGTCGTCCATATATTTATTTAATGAACGTACCTTACAGGTTTTTCGATGGTAATGTGAGGGTAGAAAGAGTAAAGTTTGTGTTCTTCATTATTCTTCATAGTAACCGTGAACTAGCTAAAAAACGGCTAAAAATGAAGCTATTCATTTACAAAGGAAAATGTGCCGAGCCCTGATATCTTATTATATGAAACTCGCTGCTGTCTTTTAGCTGCCTCTCTACCTTGAAATTAGAATAAAACTCATTGCTTTCCTTAAGATGTCTCTCTGTCATGACTCAATATAAAGTACTAATCTCTTTGAGCTGCCTCTCAATCTAGACATTATAACTTGCTTCTATCCTTGAGCTGCCTCTCTATCTAGACATTATAACTTGCTTCTATCCTTGAGCTGCCTCTCTATCTAGACATTATAACTCACTTCTATCCTTGAGCTGCCTCTCTATCTCGCGCAGCTGCTCCTCTGGCCGATGACGAGAGTATCCCAAGAGTTGGTTGTTGATGCTGCAGCAGATGTCGAGGTCGCTGCTGGCTTCCCCAAGCCCGGTGATGGAGGAGCCAACGACCACCGCACGTGCAACCTGCAAACAATAAAACAGCGCAATTATTCAATAATGATGATAGTCATATAGCCGTGCAAAGAATTCAACCTTATATACTTTTATAGTATTAGGAAGCAGTAAGCGTTTTTTGACAAATTATGGTCAAAATACAATATTTTGACCAAGTTTAATATATACACAAAATATCTGCTGGAAGATTGAATGGATTCTGTCAACCTTACAATATCAAAATCAATAGAGTTTTTTTCGTTATAAATAAAGTGTATTCTCACAGGCTAAATAATCACTCACGATAGGAAGGCTCTGCAGTCGCTGGTGCAGCGACCTCTTGAGAGCGAGCACCTCTTCCCCTTGCATGTTGTCGCAGTACCACAGGTACAGCGCACGCGACAGCTTGTTGAACTCGCTGCCATCCAGCAAGTCATGAGGAGGTCGTCCGATCTGCACTCGGTTATCAACACGCAGACAATTGAGCTTCCTCGCCCGGCGCGCCCACTCGTTTTTACTTGTATTAAAAACACCCGCTGGTGTTTGTATTTCAGTCATTGTGCGAGCCTCTTCTTCATTTTGGGGGTAGGGAAAGGCAACCTCTGGGGAACTGCACGCACCGTTTAGCAGCGGCTCTAGAGGCCGATGCTGCGGGCCATTGATGCCATGCGGTATCCACTTATTGCTGCGACGTAAATAAACAAATGAGTTTACATCCGGAAGATGGTTACATAGAACTTGAATGTAAGTATATCTTCAAAAAACTGCCGTACAACTTTGTTATCTGAATAATCTTGACAACAGCTTTGTATCAATGAGAAATGCTGAGGTGGAACAATGTCGAGCAAAACAATTGATAATTATGAAACACTAACTTGAGTTACTGAAAACAGTAACTGAATGCAAACTTTTATGTATTCATCGTATCCTATGTATCGAGAAATTCTATAAACCTCCAAAAATGTTTTTATGAAACATGTAAATGAAAAATTTTGTAGTTTAATTTTATATAGGAAAGGTTAGTAATTTTCCCAACGAAGTTCTTGTAAATACATTGCTTTGATAAAAAACAATTTCTAGGAAATAATGAATATGAGATGAAAATTGGCAAAAAGTGTGAGTAATCAGCAAAATGAAAACGAAGTGCAAAACATGAAATTATTATATGGTGGTACTTATAAAAATGAATAAATAAACCTTTTCACTTCCTCAATTAGGAGTTTCTAAATAGATCCTCCACATTCAATTTCTATTTTCATTGGAAAATTAAGATTGAGAGAATGTTTCACAACGAGAGGCAATACGATATATCTGCTCCGTTAATCGACGTCAAATCACGATTAATTCGAATAATGAATGAAGATAATGTTTAGTATTATTAGCTCAATCCTAATGCATGCCTAAAGATATATATTTAAACTGATTAGATATTGACTGGCGCGACTTAAAGGAATTATTGTAAATACGTGAAGGAATTACTCCATTCGGCGTTCAAGCCCGAAAAACAATTTTTTTCAACTTGAACATTCATATTTCTCCGATTTCGCTTGAACAACAATGCTCGAAAAATTGCCATCGGGAAATATTATTGGAAGCCTTTTTATCACAGCGGAAATGGGAACGACTAAACTTAAAGTTCTGCTCTCGCATCCGTTCAAGTTGTTCTAAACATTCTCATTGAAAAAGTTCGTCAAGGGCAACTTTTCAGGCCTCAAAAATCAAAACTTCGGAGAAATTCGGAAAACATCCTATTATTGATTACAAAATCGAACTAATTGAATATAATTATAGCTAGCATTCATTAACAAATCATGATTGTTGAGCGAGTCCAATATTTGAATAGAAAGTTCAACATTTGAATAAATTTTAATAATACAATACATAAATTGAATAAATAAATTGAATAATAAATTTGTTCAGAGTTCAGGATAGATTGTCTTTGAAAAAAAAACGTTTTTGTAGGAGGCGCTGTAGAAAAGAAGCTATACAATAATTCAAAGATAGCAAATTAACGAGTAAATCTTACCTTGTTATTTCTCCAGGATGGCTCCCGCATGCAATTGAGTGTTCTAAACTGCACCCCATTTTATCTCGTCAAGTTTTGAGAGGAAGATTTTCCTTGAAAGAAATAAGGTCTTGATGGATAACGACTAGATTGTTTGCTTATATTACGAATTCCTATCTGGCTCCAGTCACTTAATTCTTCAGAACGATGCTGATGTCCAACTCTTGGAGCCACTTGAAGACTTCAAGGAAGCGATATCCTCCGAGACATCAAACTGGTCGTTCTCGAGAGGCAAGCTGGAAAATAAATATATAATGAAGAACTCCATCAAATCTACTAAATCTACAATATGTAGATTGATACTTGATATTCCCAAAATTAGCGATGATGGCTACTAGATTAACGTGCGACAAAAATGTGATTATTAATTAACTGCTGCCAATAAGCTGACTTCTCAGAGAGCGGCAGTTCCTTCTAATTTTGAAATTGCAGTCAAATTTTTCGCTAATGATTATTGATACATTCAAGAAAATACGAGTATGAGACATGTCAAGGCTATTTTAATGGAAAATACGAGTATAACTTTCAAAGAAGGCACAAGAAAACGTAGTCTGCTCGAAATTATCGAACTGAAAACCAATTAAAATGATGTATAATGCTGATATATGCTTTGCCACACGACGACTTCGACAACTAAATGTAGACACTTTACAAGCTGATGTGCAGATTTGGGCATTTAGAGCCAAAGATACGCCATATTTACACGAGTTAAGAAAATTCTCATCGCCAACTTTAGGCTGGTTTAAATGAGGGACCATTGCGATGCAACGCGCTCTGAACCCTACATGTGAACATGAACCCTACATGTGAACATGAACCCAACATGTGAACATGAGCCCTACATGTGAACTTGAACCCTACATGTGAACATGTACCCTTCATGTGAACATGGACCCTACATGTGAACATGAACCCTACATGTGAACATGAACCCAACATGTGAACATGAGCCCTACATGTGAACTTGAACCCTACATGCTGTCTCTTATACACATCTAGATGTGTATAAGAGACAGCATCCTACCAGCGACATCCTACCAGCGACATCCTACCAGCGACATCCTACCAGCGACATCCTACAAGCGACATCCTACCAGCGACGTCCTACCAGCGACATCCTACAAGCGACATCCTACCAGCGACATCCTACAAGCGACATCCTACAAGCGACATCCTACCAGCGACATCCTACCAGCGACATCACATAATATCTTCGGTGTTTCAAAAATAGAATATCAGCGGAAATGTTCAATAAACTACATGGTGTTTTTTATGCGTCAACGTACAGATTTTCTTGAGGACCTCCACTGGAAAATATTTTGAATCAATTACAAAATAACGCCATTGAGAACGGAGCTTAAAATGTAATACCAATTTCCTTGCACAAGCAGAAGCGGCAAGATTTCAGCCAAATGCAAATTTACTTACCAATATTTATCCACTTTAGGCAATAAAAAAAGCGGTTGCTGCAGTGGGATTTATTCAAGTTGGGTACATATTTACATATTTGCTGCCAGATATACGAGTGAGGGCAGTCACTACCTAAGCAAACCAAGTTGAGCAAAATTCGATATTGTCATCTATTTGCATTTTATAAATTGCTCAAAATTCACACAGCCTACTTGATTCCCTGCATAAAAACGGCAACTATGGCCACTTACGCCGCTATCCCGGAGCCGTGGCTGCAATATGTCTTTCTGAGATGAGACATGAAATTCTGTATATTCACACCTAATTAACGATAACTAACTTAATTAATTAACTGTATAATGACCTTTAATCAATATACCTTGAATCAAACTTCATGTATTACAATAGATGAACATATTATACAAATTTTATTCCGCCACCTCTATTTAATCTATATATAGATTATTTGGTCATGATGACAATAGAAATATCATAATTCTATTGTCTCGGTATTACTAGAGCTCCATACTCTAATTACTTTGTTAGAATTAGTTTATAGTTAGCGATTGCAAAGTGAAACTAACATAGCGGTGATACCAAATTGATTTCCATAAACCAATGATCATTCCAAGATAGAAAATTAGCGATCATCTATAAGCAAAATTACCCTCGCGTAAGAGGCTGATGTGGCCGCAAGTTTTGAGCTCCTGTTGGTATAAGAGGCTTATGAGGGGCAGCGTTGTGCTGCGGCGTGATGGTCGGCCGACGGACGACCGCAGGTTCGGGTTGACGGGCTGCAAGATGTCGCTCTGCCCACCAAGAGTTTTTGACCGCAAGGTTTGGTATCGTTGAAGACACAGTCGTGTTATCCACCTTGAGTCAATTATTACGAGGATGTCTGGAGGAGAATGAGCATAATTGCGAAATAGCATAATGAATGAGCAAAATAGAGAAATAACATGAAATAAATTACTAATTTCTTTTATATGAGAAGTGTACCAAAAGGCAAAGATGTGTCACTAAATACTCTTAGTGATACAAAGCTGGTGAAGGTTTCAGCAGGTAGACGCTTGCGCGCTCTCTTCACAACACCCAATTATAAACTGGACAAATCTGTTCTAAGACAAACCAATATCATAGTCTGTAACCAAGGACTGCAGTTTTCTGCATCCATATTTCGGACTTCCGATGTGTTATAAATGACGTCAGTGACCTGCCGCCTTAACGATTCTACGCAATAATAACAATAGTTACTCCGTCCATTCTCATAACTAGCATTTCAAAAGTTTCGTCTTAATTCATCGTGTTTTCAGTAAGTGTGATGAAATTCAGCACAAATATTAATCATCATCATTCATGCCCCCGATCTTTTTAATTTTAGAAGGCATTAAACGAGTTATAAGATCATCCATGATGATTGTGCACATTATTGGGAGGGCATTTACCTGAGGTCTTAGAGATGCGGACGCTCAGGCGCCATCGCCGCGTAGGCATCGCACTGCTCCAGGAACTCCTCCAGGCTGCGGCTGCCGCTGCACACTTCGCCGACTATCGCGTCCGACATCTTGAAGGCGTTGGCAAATTTATGGAAATTCAGGGGATCGAAAAGCGCTTGGGCGGCATTCGCGCGTGTGAAGGGTTCTGTAGGAAGCATTGCAATTATTGCTTGTTACTTACATGCACTTGCTTTGAGAAGCGAGCTTTCTTCTTCATTCGGGTTCACATTAACTTTAATCAATGAAATTTGTAATGTCTACAATAAGCAAGACAAGAATTTGATCAAGTACAGGTAAAAAAAAGATTTCCAAATACGAGTAATACTCGTATAATAAGCTCTTGAGAGCGGAGCAATGAATGGCACAACAACACGCCTGCAGTAATGGAGATACTTGTTCCAGATAAAAATAAGATATAAAATGATATTTTATCATTTTTTATGAGTAGCACAACACCTCAGAAATTACGATGATATAAAACAATGCACCAATGATCGAAAAGATCAATAAAAATATAAGAGCAATCACGATATAACCACAGATATATGAAAAGATGTATATAGGTATACTAGAGATTAGGAAGACAA